AAACATCTTCATCCATATCTACCTCCTATGAAGTTTTTTATTGTTCCAGAGACTGGATTAGGTATTGGTTTGGAAACTGTCTCGGAGAATGGTTCAAATCTTGAACTAAATAATTGTCATGACCAACAAGATTTTTTTATGTTCAAAATATGAATTTCCACCAACACCACTGGAGAAGAAAGTGTTTGAATTTCCACCACTACCACCACATGGGTAAAAAGTGTTTGAACCATATGGGTTTGCACCATTACCGTAAGGTAAACTTTGATGAATTACGACACTTGATGGATTTTCACCATGACCACCATCGTCGACAAGAGTGTCAACATTTCCGGTAAACTTTGATGAACAACGTTTTGGAACATTAGCACATCGTCGTAGTCACTTAACTGATATAATTTTTATAAGAAATTTGTTTTATAAAATAACATGAAAGGACTACGTAACTTAACTTTTTCGTAACACGTTTAACCAAACCAGAATGTGTTATTGGCGAAGGCAAACGTAATACTCATACGGGACGATCTTAACAGAAGGTAATCTAAGGCACCAATTTATCTCTTAGAATGAACCGCCACTTTGAAAATACAGCAAAACATCATTATTTTGACGTGATTTATATTTGTGTTTAAAGGTGAAGGGTTGTGATGGTGGGATGGTAAATTGTGTTTAAGGGTTAAAGGTTGTGAAAGTAGAAGATATGAGAATAGAAATGAAAAGTGAGGTGTGAAGAAAAATGAATGAGAGATTCATGCCATATATAGTTGTATTTGTTGCACTAAAAGACGAAATAGGAGTCAACAAGGGTGTAGGTTGGATCGTCTCCGGAGGAAGATCCGGGGTTAAGTGGGGGCGATCCCACTTCTCAAGCCAAACCAGACTTTGCATCTTAAATCAGATACATGTGGGCCCCACAAATTAATTTAAAATAATTTTTTTGAATTTTTTTGGTCAAACATGGTGTGGATCCCCCCCATGGTCAAACATGCCCCCCGGGGACGATCCTCTTGATTATTGTGGTAAAATCTTGAAAAAATGGCTATTTTGGTGAAAACCCCTTAAAATATCCCATGTAAACAATAAAAGAACTCCTCGATTTTCTATTGGAGATCCATGTTCTCTATTGAAGATGAGGATGAATACGTGATCATATTCTCCAGCAAAGGACAAGAATGGAAATGAAGATTGTGGTCCCCATCTCATCACCGCACCATTCACATGCCTAAGTTAACACAAACCCTTTCAAGGAACCATACCCATAAGTCGACAAAAAGCTTTTAACTTTGAAAGGCGCCTCAATCTTCCTTTTACGTACTTACCTTCTCCTTCTCTTATATTATATTATATTATATTTATACTAATTTACCTCTTATTCTTTTAACATATATTTCTTGGTTTGTAAGGAGACGTTTGGTTTGAAGTAATGGTTTTGAAGGATTTGGAATATAAGGAGACGTTTGGTTTGATGTAATGGTTTTGAAGGATTTGAAATGGAATGGAATTTGTATTTTATATATAATTTATGAAAATAAATTATAAATTTTTTTTGTTTCTTTTATTATTTTCATGGTTTTTTCATTCTTGAAATACAATCATGAGCCCATATATTCAAAAATATATACTTCAAAATAAAAATAAAAATATAGTCACATAAGCATGTTTTTTTTTTACAACCGATTAGCCCAATGGTACATTTATGATGTTGTAAACTAAAAAGGGGTGTTTAAAGATGAATTACTTTGTTGGAATTGAAATAATACAAATGGTTAATAAATAGTAGCAGACCAATATTCAAATGAACTGCAAGGGGCTGATTGCCCTCAATTAAGGTCTATGGTGAAGCATTGACATTGATTATGCCGGCAAAAATAAGGAAGATGTTTTATGGTATGGTTGGTTGAGGAGATAGAAAAAACAATAAATACAAAAGACTCCTTTCATATCTTAATATTAATAAATACCCTAAATATATAGATAGAGAGGTTCAATCAAGGGAGAATTCGATTGTTTGTGATAACTGTGGGATCTAATCTCAACCACACATTATTAATAATCAATGGTTATTATCAAACAATATTAATTTTGGTAATCATTCATTAATTTTCAAATAGTTTAAATTTACGGATAATATATAGGGGTAAATTAGTCTTTTTAAAATATCTCTCCTCTCTCCGGCCAAGAATTTCTAACGGTAAAACACAAAACGAATATGATACACGTTGTGATACCCAAGAATTTATAACAGTAAGACACAAAACCAATTATGATACACATTGTGTACCACTATGTTAACGTTTTAAACATGAGTTGATAATGGATGTGATCTGAGTTTTAGGTCACACACAACCACAATGTGATACACGTTGTCATACCAATGTGATATTACTGTGATACCCACTATGATACAATGTGGTCCACTATTGGAAACCAATAAGCATAATGTAAGTTGATATGTTGTGATATATTTAAATCTAAAAATATGAAAACCACAAAAATCTTTGACGAGATCGTGTTGTGGTCCACTGTCAAGGTCTCCGACGAGATCTGGGGTTTAACGTCTCATTGAAATCTTCGACAAGATCATATTGTGGTGCACCGTCGAGGTCTCCAACGAGATATGGGCTTAGCGCATCATCGAAATCTTCAACGAGATCGTATTGTGGTGCATCGTAGAGGTCTCCAACGAGATCTGTTGTGGTGAAGTAGTCAAGGTCTCCAGCAAGATCTCAACTTTAGCACATCATCAAAATCTTCGACGAGATCATGTTGCGGCGCACCGTCGAGGTCTCCCGCGAGACCTGGGCTTTTAACACATCATCGAAGTCTTCGACGAGATCGTGTTGTGGTCACCATCAACATATGGGCGACACAATGTTCATCAAGCTACGAAGACGAATGGGAAGAACGAGATGGGTATGTATATAACTCCATTTTTTATTCAGTTTGTCAGAAGATTTTGATTTTATTGTATGATTCAAACGATGAAGAGAAGGTTTGAAGAATCAGGAAACGATAATTTATAAAATCAATTTTGTTGAGATAATTAAGGAAATCGAATTCTTGATTGAACCTCACGGTTACCACAAACTAATTAGTTCTCTCTCTCTCTCTCTCTCTCTCTCTCTCTCTATATATATATATATATATATAGGGTTGGGTTCACGTGAGACCAAGGGTTTTTCGTGAGACCCGTAAGACCAATTTATGTTCATTGATCAACTTTAAAAGCTAATGATCTAGTGATCTAAAATTGCGTGGTGGCAATTTTGTGATTATTGAGAAGTCTCGTGGCGCTTATGAATGTTCAAATTGTCAAATTGTAGATATAATCCAATGTTTGATAATTGGTCTTACGGGTCTTAAGAAAAACCATTGGTCTCACATGATCCCAAGGGTTTTTTATGAGACTCGTAAGACCAATTCTCAACTCTTGGATTAGATCTACAATCTAAACATTCATAATCACAAAATTGCCACGAGACTTCTCAATAATCACAAAATTGTCACCGTGCAACTTTAGACCATTAGATCATTAGCTTATAAAGTTGATCAATGAACATAAATTGGTCTTACGGGTCTCACAAAAAACCTTTGTTCTCACATGAACCCAACCCTATATGTGTGTGTACATAAATTATGTGGTGATAACAATTAGACGCCATATCATATCTACGTTAATTCTCATCTCTAAATTATGTTGCTGCTTTTCTAACCTTTCTTATTATTATTATTTCTTTTTTAAATCCTCATTCAGTATTTCTTAGTATGTTAATCGTAGAATTTTTCACACAACCCCCAACCAAATTATGGGGCCCAATATTACATGGGTTGTTGGTTTTTTGTTTTGTAAACTAGGTTTAGATAATGAGATTGATCCCTCAATAATGTTCAACATATATGCATCTCTATTATCTAACTTTACATTATAAACAAAACAGGACCTCCTAAAATAATTGGAACATCCAGCGTGYATTTACGTGTTTTCATTAAGTTGGCAAGCATTGATTGATTTATCACATTCACATATAATGTTGATATTATGATACCATATGAACGGTCATATTCGATATTTACTCATTTGAAGTGGGCCGGCAACCTTGCAATTAGACACAAATACCTGATAAAGTTGTTTGTAGTTTAAGCAAGTATTCCATGGATACAATTATTACAACAAGCAATAGTTTTATAGAGAAAACAAACGTACGTCACGATCCTACTTTCCGATTTTTGAAAGCAGAAAATGTGCACCAAGTACCGTCCAATGACACCAACACATGGCAAGGATAAAACCAACGGTACTCTTGACTTCTCACATCATCTTACTCGGTATGAAGAAGCCAATGTACGATTCTATACATCATTTATCGACTTCATAACATTAATGGATCTACCTTACCAAGGTTCAACAATACTTTCTATTTTAATCCTATTCKTCTATAAACATATGCCACAAACATCATTTATTTACTTTACCAAGGTTCAACAATACTTTCTATTTATTTACTTATTTATCGACTTCATAACATTAATGGAATATCTATTTAAGTTCAAAAGTTATCTTTTCACTTTAGCAAGTAGCATTCGGGGTGGGTTTTTAAACATTTGTAATTACAAACCCCGTATGAGAACAAAAACAAAAACTCTTGAAAAGAGAAGGGAGGTTCCAACATACATAGAGGAAAAATGGTTCAAAGTTAGCAGATGCCCAATGGAAGCTAGATAGAACAGATTGTCCAATAGTATCAAGAGGGGCTAAACGAGTATAGATAGACCTTCGCTCTGATAGAACAGATTGTCCAAGAGTATCAAGAGGGGCTAGACGAGTATAGATAGCCCTTTCCTCTGATACCATGTGAGAATATATGGAACCCCATTAGATTACTCTTCAAAAAAAAAAAAACCTTGAGGATAGAAGGGAGGTTCCCTACATATTCAAAGGGGAAATGGTCCAAGTCTAGCCAATGCGGAAGTCTAACAAATATAAACAACAAGTTCCAAAGTTCAACGCAATATGTGTTAAGCTACAATATTGGTGTATTCTGTACTCTTTTAAGTTATATTCCACATAAATTCACGCAATAAAAACGCAAGTTGAAGTTACAAACTACATACCATTCACATTGCCTCCTGATCTCAGTCAATACCCAAGCCAGAAAAGTGTTCAAAAGTCCCCTGTGCAACATAAAACACTAATCACTACTGCTGCAAATCAGACTTTCGAGTTTCGACTAATAATCAACCCATCCAAGTGTACCAATAGTTGATGCAATTTTAGCTTTTATCGGCAATTTTGGTGAAAAACAGTTCTTGCACCCCCCCCCCCCCAAAAAAAAAGTACACCAAATATACAGAAGAATAAATGTTTTTGGAGAAAAAGTCAAGTAAAGCGGTACTAGTCGAAATCGCTCATCGCTGCTAACTATTGTGCATTTAGGCATATTCATAAACCGGTGCTTATTTTGCCACGAAAATCCAAGTATGACGGTTTAAAATGTTGGTTGTTCTCTACTATTCGGTTATTAATGTCGATCTACAGGATGATGGACCACTTGTCAATTAAGAGCCATTTATGTAAGCTTTTAACATACCGTTCGTGTATAAAAAATAGTCACATACAAACTATTGACTATATCAACTTTGATCAACAAAGTTCCTCTTACCTTTTGTTGTTTCAGATATTAACTACAGTTGAAACAGTTTGGTCACGCATTGCAGTTTGTTACAGGATGGAACCATAACGAGTCAAGGGAGACATTCCGCTGGCATGGTTGGTGTTTTCTTATCTCACAACTAAGAATATTGCATGACCTAAGGGCCATTGGCCCAGCCATCCAATAACCCCACTTCCCTGGAGATTAGGAGTTCAAGTCTCACCAAGGTGAGAAGCGTGTGAGAGTTTAATTTCCGGATATAAATATTATATATTTTACAAAAAAGAGTACTGTGTAAGTGGCACACAGTAACAAAATAAAAATGCAACTTACAGCATAGTCATCATGCACACGCCAGATAGCCTCACCAAGCAGGTTTGCTACGGATAAGATAGTCAGTTGCGGAAAGCAATTCTGCTCAGACACCGGAAGTGTATTTGTGATGATCACCTCTTGGAAAAGACCACTTGACAGTCTTTCAATAGCAGGAGGACTGCATTAAACAGAGAGTCAACGTTTTCTGGGTAATGGTTGAAGAAATAAGCAACTTCATAAACTGAAAAGTTTAAGTTACCTAAAAACAGCATGGGTGCAGCAAGCATATACTTCCCTCGCACCTTCATGATGCAACAAGGCTGCTCCTTTGGAGATGGTACCTATAATTCATGAACCAATAAAGAGCGCATTTCAAAGGGCATTTAATAAACAATTTTTTCGAGGTACACAAATTATTAGTCTTAATTAGGTTGTATGCGAGCCACGCAAAAGCCTGCTTGGCTTGAAGCTCGGATCATATAAAGTTCAACAAACTCAGCCTTGGCTGGGTTCATAAGCTTGTATTGAACACTTGAAATAAAATCAGAAACCAACTATATTTGGAACATTGACAATTAGAAGTCTCAAGTCTGCTAAGACTATTGAGGGTAAAAATAATAAATCACACCAAGTGGCTCTATATGCACGGTTGATATAAGCTTGTGAAGCTGGGCTGAAGCCAACTCGGGCTTGCCAAGCTTTTTGACAACACCAGAGCATCTCACCTACACCCTTGGTCTTAATTTTTGTAAAGCAAAAGTTCTTGTGATGAGACATAAAACAGAGGGAAACATGATATGTTAAACTTAAATAAAAGGATATTCTAGTTCCATGGTTACTTAATAAACTTATTTTAGTGAAATAGCACAAGGTACAAAATAACTAGGGGAAGTTTATAAGAAAAGGTCCCTAACATATCATTGCCAGACCACGCAAAGAAACATTTAAATGGTGCATGCATATTGTCAGATTGCAGTATGAAGTTTGTGGCAATAAAGGCCCTCTGTTCGCTCTAACAAATAGTTGAATGCATGTTTGATCTATCACACATTTTAGAAGTGTTTGTAAGAGGATGTTCAAAAATCTGATATTCCTCTCCATCCCTATCTCAGTGATTGTAGATATCATCCAAGATCCAGTCAAATCAATTATAAGAGGTATCCAGATCCATATGCACACATATCCACTAAGAAATTATATTGATTTCAGATATCATATATGTGGCTCCCCAACATCTGCATCCAGTAAGGGTTTTTTATTTGGCAATTCAGCTATATAATATGTTTACTGTAATACTATAAGTAAATAGTTGTCCAATAAACTGAAATAAAAATTGTAGATGACTAAACATTGAACCACCAATTAGAATTTTAGTGTAAATGGAAATGTTAAGGTTTAATTCAAGTAGGTTTTTGAATTTAATGATTTCTATAGCTTTCATGAATTCATTTTGGGCTAAGCTGATAATATTCATCAGATACAAATGCAGACGTCAAAGTATTTAAATATTTTGGATGTGGATGCAGAACAAATGTTTTAAATTATGGAGACAGATACAACAATATCTGCTCCATTTATGCCCCTGCATTTTAGGGTTTTTCAAGTATACAATATCTATATACGACAAATGAACTCACGCACACTCCTCACCTTTGGTGATGTTTGAACCCTTAACCTCCTTGGACGCATAGCTCTACCGGTAACCCAAATACCGCTAGGCCAACAGCCATTTGGTTGCATTTTAGGTTTTACAGCTTGCTCTTTAAACTTAACTCGGGTTCTTCACTCTAGTTAACAAAGACAACATAAGCCAAGAAGGCATTCTATATGACTAATGTTCATTCTTTCAAAGTCGATCTGACTTTTCAGTGCATAACCACATGCATATCTTCCAAGTAGAAACACTATGATTTAAAAGTTCCAAAGACACTCTATAACACAAAATAGGGCGAGAGAGATATTCACCAGCAGTGTCGATCATGTCATCCACCATAACTGCTACTTTACCCCTCACATCACCAATCAAATTCATTACCTGCATCATAAGATCAGAAGAATCAGGGGACTCTGAAGACAAGACTCATGAGAGTTAAATAAAAATGAACTTCTACAATTCATAAATCTTCATGATATAACTAAGAGAAGAAACAGACAACTTGATAAGCACTAATTATTTAGTGCTTGAACACTATTTTTCTTCTCTTTTAGATAGGACATTTTCTATTTATATCCTAACATTGAGTCATTTTATTCCCTTATTTTTCACTTCCTTGTTATGAAGCTAAGATGAGTGATTCACCTGTTTTTGTTACATAATGGACTAATATGGATTTATTTTGGACAGTTTGAAGTTGTTTGATGTTGCGGGGATGCTGCAGCATGACCTGACTGTGAGGAAATAGAAGAGAGAGGACATGATGCTGATTGGCATGACCATAGCTGACTTTTGAATGACATTTTATGTATTGACAGCTGTTTATTTTGTAATTAGCTGGAAACTTGTTGGCTAATTTGGTTACATTAGAATTTAAATATTTGCTTTATTGTACTTTTAGTTACTTTAAGTCTAGTTTAAGTGTTAAAAGACTATTTTGCCATCACCTCTATCTTAGTGTAAATAGAGATGTTGTGGTAAGTATTTTGATCATCTCATCCAATTCTTAAGTAATTATCTTACTACTTGTAGAATACTTTCTCTCTCTAGAAATACAAGTAACTTTTGGCTAATTTCTCTTTCAAGCTTTCCTTTGATTGTTTTTTTATTTTCTGCTCTTTACTTTCAGTCATTTATTTATTACGCTTTCCGCTTTTTAATTTCCGTCATTTACTTTCCGTTATTTATTTTTTATGTCTTTATTTACCGTACTTTATATTTCTTGCAATTTATTTTCCGTCATGAGTAGCTAAATTTCTTAGCTCGGGTGTATGACGGAAGGGTGAGTTTGTAAATCAAAATAAGGTAGACCCTTTTATGTAACAACAATGTTTCATTATTCCATTTCAAGTTTTATAAAACCAACGACACTTCTTGACGAGTTCATCACTGAAAAGTGTTAAAGTGCCATGGACCCTAAGTTGAGCCATTGATTGCACGTCAATTTGGATGATATGAGAAGTAGACTTTAAAGAGTTGCTAATAAAGAGATTTGTTATCCGTATTTTCTAAATTGTTAATTCTCGACAAGTTGATCACTTTGAAGTGTTAAAGTGGAATGGACTCAGAGATGAGCCATTCAGAACACGTCAACTTAAATGATATGGGAATCCACTCGAGAGAGTGATTTTTAACAAAGAGATTTGTTTATCCATATATTTTGAGGACACCAATTGTCACTTTCACTGGTCTAGATACCTCATAGAGATATGGGTTGAAAGCTATAATATCAGTGCATTGGTGAAATCCAAGATAAATACCTTCAAAATAAATGGTGAAAATAGTTGTTACTAATTGCATGTTGTAGCAATTTGTCAGCATGGTTTCATGCTGTAGCATTTTGACAGCATTGGTCTACTGGAAATAGTATTTACATCTCACCCTAAGTCTTACATCCTGGCTTGCTTTTATTATCTGTTATTACCTGTTAATTTTTAGTTGTGTTAACTCTGATCAAATAGAAATCTTCAAATTCGCCCTCTGAAATCATTTCCTTAATATTACTTTCATCTAAACTTTTACTACGATCCCTGTGGACGATATCCGGTACTTGTACCACTTTATTACTTGAAAGACGATATTGGGACTAATTGTATACTTGCTGTTGGTCCTGGTTGCAAGTCTGTGGGTGTGTGAAAACGGTCCCGATCACACCTCAATCAGAAAGAAGACGAGAAAGATAAGTTTGGAATTCCTTTAAATTTAGAAGAGGCAACAATTATTAACAATGGTGCAAAATGATCGTTGTGAAATTGGGTCCTCTAATGTAAAGTTTAGTTATATGAACATAACTAGTAAGACACTTCATTATCATACATCCATGTAAGGAATTCAACCTCTCACACACCAGTCTCTGTACCCTAGCATCATGCACTAGAAGGCATGCACACTGAATTTGAGAGATGGACTCATTTGTCAATTTTCTGACAGCAGATTGCATCATTTGGGTGGGTTAGGACTAGAGAGGTAGATAAGGTGAAGAAACTGAGAAAGATCATGTTTTGGAAGCTATGAAGGGCATGCAAAAGGTATGTCTGTAAGAGGAACTGAACAATTAGAAACACAACTTATGGATGGCCATATGTTGCATATTGGAAAATTTCAATAGCAAGTATCACACAAAATGTTACTTCTTCCTGATCATAAGATCATGGGTTTCATTAATGGAAGCAGTCTCTTTGCAAAATGGACAGAAAATGCTGTGTATATTCCATCAATACTTGCATGACCAAGCAGCCTTGGGTAACGACTTTGAATAATGAAGGTTACATCATCATGTACATCATGTCAAGGAGAATACAGAAGGTATATTTCCTGCTTTGAGGTTGACAGAAAGTACCATTAACACAGTAAACGAATAATGAGGATGATGATTATTATGAAAAAGAAAATAAAGTTCACACTTTCAGATGATATATTATAGGAATAAATACAGAAATAGACCTCACCTCTGCCATATTATGTCCATGACGACGCTTATCAACAATGGCCAATGGCGCATCGGATAATTTATTTGCAAAAGCTCGAGCTCTAGCGACTCCACCAACATCTGGTGAGACCACTACTAAATCCTCAGCGGAGAGGGTCTTGCTGGCAAGATAATCAACCATGACCGGCTAGGTATGCACAAGAAACAAATTAGCAGCCAATATAGCAGTTCAACATAAAAGTTGGAAATGAAGTCTGAACATGAAGTTTAAATAAACTAGCACCAAAATAGTCAAAGAATATATAATCATAATTCTACCACAAACCACCAAAAAAATCCTCATCTTAATTTATATGATCTAAGTTCTAAAGATCTCAAATTTATATCATGTGTCTTAATCAGAATCTACTGATCGATTATGTATTATTATATTATTACCTGACCATGTACGTGGTCTACTGGAATGTCAAAATAGCCTATAGATTGCCCAGAATGAAGATCACAAGCAAGAACACGATCTGCCCCAGCTTCTGTTATAAGATTCGCAACAAGTTTAGCCGCAATTGATTCCCGCCCTTGAGTCTGAACCATCAGTGGAAGGAAAAACATATTAAAAAAATTTAACCACACCAGACAGTCGAACACTTTGAGCCCATTCTATCACAAGGACCAGATTGAAACTGAATTTCACAAACGCAATAATGGGCATAAGATATGACCTGTTAGCCAAGGTTATTCTACAATTATCAACAAACCCCTAGAGAAAAATCTTATAAGAATTAGTTACCAACACAGTAACTAGTTATTTGTTTTTTTCTTTCAATCCAATTCATTCAACATGTACCTACTTTAAGGCCAGTTTGAAGTGAAAGAGAGATTAGCAAACAACAAACAAATCAGTACATTATTCAATGAAGTCATATAACAATAACTATGAGAACCCGAAAATTATTAGTCACATGCGATAATAAATTGGGTTCAGTTACATGCAATCATGAGTACTACATGGTTCTGGAGGAATTAGTACATTAATTGAACATCGTAAAAGTTATTGGCAATCATGATTTCATCTACATTGAAATAAGTATTATATAACAAACAACATGCTATTGGATCATCTAAATCACCTAAGAGAAGACAAATGAATGAATGACTAAGAATTTTTATGACACTTGGCATTAAGATTGACAACTAGATGAGACAAAGAGCAACTCTCCTTTGCTCTCGTCACCGCAAACTCAAGAGAGAATCAACAACTTCTATGAAACGTGGCATTAGAGGCCTGGCAACTAGGTGAGGCAAAAGGATTTTGTCTCTCCCTTGCTCTTGTCTAGGGAAATCAAGAGAGGATCAAGAAGGCTAAGCAAGGAGGGAGTGTGTGATCATAGAAGGGGATGAGAAAGAAAACAAAGGAAGAAAGTCAAATTTCATAAAATGGGAAGGAGCTATGGCTGGAAAAGAGGAGGGATTTAGCCCCACATAATGAGGGTCACAGAAATTCTTGATCAATTGTCCTTGCTTAGAAGATTATAGATAATCTTACAATAGGCTGTTATACAATATCCTCATGTCAAAAGTGAATATAATCATGGTTGCACAAGTTTTACCATGTTCAATTAATGCAGAGATTCAATTCGGAATAACTCACCATGTAAACCAGAATTGCAGGTAAGTTTGTTCACAATTTTTTTACAGTTCTCAAAACAACTGACAGGTATCTGTAGGGAAAAGCAACCAGCTGCATGAACTTAATAGTAACACAAATGCATAAAATGAAACATCACTTATTTGGATAGAAAATACTGACATAATAGTCAGTGTTTATTCAACATGTTAAATTGTCAATAGGGAAAAAAAGACTGAAACAACAAGTTCAGGTAGAAAAAGATAGTGCTCTACTTGCAAATTGTTTCAGGATTACATGGTATTGCTTAGCCTAGTTTTATATATGCTTGTTCATCATTTGCAACTTTAATGATATTCCACTTAATAATGTTTTACCTTCCGATCAGCCCTTGCATATCCGAAATATGGAATAACTGCAGTAACAGTTTTCGCAGATGCTCTCCGACAAGCATCTATCATTACCAAAAGCTCCATGAGATTCTCATTTGCAGGAGGGCATGTTGGTTGCACAAGAAATACATCGCACCCTCTAACACTCTCAAGCAACTGAACGTATACTTCACCATCGGCAAAACGTTTTATCTTAATATCTCCAAGGTCTAGACCCATGTAGCATGCCACTTCCTATTCCACATAACAAAATGAATAAGCATAACAAACAAACACTAAAAGAAACAAAATTCTGGGAAAAAATGCTCACAGCCAAGAATGTAACAGAATAGTTTGTCTCTAACATGAACAAGTACCAGAATCAAACGTTCGAATGCCAATATGAAAGGATGCTAAAGAGCCAGAATATTTTCCCATCAATGAAAATGAAGATGTGCCCTTCATTCTTTCACTACCTGATAGAATGAGGAAGATAAATTTAACAAAAACGAGATACGAACAAAACTCGCTTACTTTTGAGAGTAGGCCTCTCTCCACAATGCCTGATATAATATTAGTAGATTTTCAACCAAATTAAGCACAATAAACTCTCCTAGTCCCTATTTAAAGAGCTTCCTAACTATGAACCACCCTTACTGATACTTCATCCTTATCCATAATATGCATAGCCCGAGGCCTGCCCATGTGTGGGCCTAACATTACTCCCCCTCCCCCAACAGAAACCTTGTCCTCAAGGTGGAAGATCATTAGTGCCTCTAGGCCTTCGAGACTTCATGTTCCTCCTTGTCTAACTCCCTTTCTATTACAGCAGCTCCTTTGTCTTCCTCATTCTCTTCATCACCTGCCAAGAGAATCTGTAGGGCACCTGGTCACAAGTGAGCAGTGCCCGGTGAGAAATTCTTGTCATTTGGAACACAAACCTTTGCCCCTTTTGACTTGCAACTAGGACTTTGTCATCCTTTTATCCCCAATTGCAGCCTACTGTCACTTGAGGAGATACCTCTTTAGTTTGTTCAGTGGCCGGGTTTGAAGACCTCATCTACTTTTTTCAAGTCCCTTCCAGTGGAAAGTAACCTCCAGATGGCCCCTTACTTGCCTGTTCGGCAATTTTCAGTCGTCCATACTATGCGCTAGATTCATCGTTTCCTTTAGCCCTTAGTTCCCACAATCTCAATGGCACATGAATCTCAACCTTTAATACCTTCAAAAATTCTCGCATTTGCCTGATCAGGCGATCCTCAAACCTGCCTTGCCAATAATTCATATTTTCAACAATATTCATGCACTGTGTTTGTCCTGTTTTAGGACAAAAGGTGGTTCCATTAATGCCCCTCCCCCCCCCTCTTGCAAACCTTGAAAAAATGTCAGTGAAAATCCTACCAAGTCATGAGCGCCTCCCGTTTCAAGCACATTCCTGCAGCTGCAAGCCCGTCATAATCAATCTGTTAACTGTAGAATATCGTTCGACTCTGAAGAACCAACCCAACCCATACGTCACTGCCTCCGTTAGCACCGCCGATTAGTTACTTCAGCAACTCTATCGTAGAACAGCAGCCCTCACTGTGGGTTGTCACCCATGCTTTGTTGAGCAACTTTGTCCGTATCCCCCTGCTGTCAATGCCATTGTCATGATGGGTCCCTCCTTGCAGAACCCATGTCCCATTGGATTGTGGCTGTAATCTCCCCATGGAATCTCAGCTTGGCATCGGTTTTCACCCCTAAACCACACAGCTGTCCTTGTTCCTCTCTGTCGCCCCCAAATACGAACCCTTTCCCTTATCCTATCTGGTGTCGCTGCCCTCAGTGACTCCTGTCAACCCCATCATGTCTCCATCTCCGTGTTGACCCCTTGCATTTTTTTGAGTTCAAGTTCCAATTATTTTTCGTACCAGTGCTTTAATTGAAGCAAATAAAAATGATCCAACATCATCGCTCTCACTTCCTCTTTTTCAGTTCCCATCATTTCTTCCTATTCTCCTACCTTCTGTGATGCCATTGGCCCAGGAGCTACACCACTCTAATACCAATTTGACAGAACCAAGAAGATAAATTGAACAGAAACAATAATAAATTGACAAAATATCTTACCTTTGAGAAGAAAGCTTCTCCCCATGATGCCTAATCTAATCTTCCGTAAATTCTTGATCAAATCAAGCAAGATAAACAATATCTCCTAATCCCTATTTATAGTGCTTCTTAACTATAAATATTCTTTATTGACACTTAATCCTTATACGTAAATATTATCCCCTATTTATAACTATGCATGGGCCTAGCACTTCCCTACCCAGTTGTTTGGGGTCTTTCATCATTGTGACAACTAAATCTATAGAAATTAGAAGGATAACATGTTTTGAATCTGAGCTGAGGTTCCAAGTTCCAAAAAATCAAAATGTTACTGGGAGTACAACGAAGTAAATAAAAGCATCCACTCTTCTTGTGTCAAGTGATGGTTACGTCTGAAATTACTCCGTCAACAGTCATTAATCCGTACGAAAAGTCATATCATATTTAATTTAGGCTCACAGTCGAAATTGGAAAGCAAGTACATCCTAATGTACATTTTTTGCACAACGTTTATGAAGTTAACACACATGACAAAAGTATACACTTGGTTATCCAATTATGTTGAGAAACAAAAGACAACCAAGTCCTTGGCCATTGGCCAAATGGCATACCTGAGACAGTCTGGGATTGGCTGTGCCCGAAAACACCCGAAGTTTGGTTTCATCTTTCTTTTTTGGATCCCTCTCAAACTCATATGGAGTAAAATACTTAGGGAATGTTTCTTGGTTTCTGGTGAGGGTTGGTACACCAGGCTTCCCATTTTCCGCAAGATTGACCCTGCAGCTCTGAATCCAAAACAATAGAGTTACTTATCCCTGCATTTTTTTATTAAATACAATTTTGTTTGGAGACCCATATATATACACACCTTTCCACGATCACAAATGAAATGATTAAGTTCCGTTCGGCTGTTCCTGTTTGGTTCTTTAAATAAACAGTCCAGGTAATTGTGAGTTCAATAACCATGCCCAATGTGAACATTTCTATGCTTTTCTATTTGTTTCACTGATACTGCTGTTGTTTACCAGACTCCAACCATTCTTCATGTAATTTCATAGCTAAACACAGACCTACCATAAGTAGACAGGATGCTAATACAATCAAATCCGATTCTGTATCTAGTCCAAAGACAAAAGAAATTTCTGATTTTTTGAACATAAAAGAATTAACAGACCTCATCAAATTGATTGTAGTTGCAAATAACAATGGTTTCACAATAAAACAATAATCATTGCCGTAAACTGAAACATAAAATTTCTATATTTAATAAGCACACGAAGTGACTACATATTGTACATAATTACATTTAAAAAACAGAATATAATTGCATCACTATTCATTAATTCATACATACATATTATATATGGCTTTATTACTTTCATTAGCCATATATGTCTAATTAGTTGAAAACATAATTGAATGGGTATTTAGTCTAATTGAATATAGAAATATCTGAAGGTAAAATCTATGGTAACCACCAAAAGTTACAAATTTAACTCATTACAATTAACATTTATAGAATAAACATGTTGTTCAATGCACATTCTCTCTTCTGGTGATGATTGTCTCCCTAGAATGAGATCAAGACGATTTTGATGATTCCCAAATAATTTTTGGACAAAATGAATTCCAAATTGGACATATTGGATGGTGAATATTTTAACAATGAGTGATTGACATTTGTAACCATTGCACTTGACTTTAACTTTCCAAAAAATCATCATAGATGAAGAAACTCATAAAGAAATTATACTTGGAAAACAATTTCCCCAATTTTAACCTAAGATATAAAATTTAACCCATGTAACTAACCATTACACTTTGCAGGAGTCCTAGAAAAACAATGTACTTGAAAACCACCTATACTTTGGCATAATACCTTCCAATTATAAAAGTTTCCATTTTTCCATTATTTCCAATGCTGAAAATTTTTTATCAGAATTATAGTTGTGATTATGAAGGAATAAATTGTATGAAAGATGGTTTATATATTTTACCAGTAAGAAGTTTTAATTTAAATTTGTATCAAATATTAAGAAGAACCAAGAATAAATTATGTTGAAATATAATAAATGTGTTAAGAAAATCAAAGCACAGGCCACTCAAAATAGCTTAACTAATAGCTTGCTTGTATATTTCTAAAATGTATTTATTTTACTTTTTTGTAATTTAATTGTAATATCATCAAATACTATTTTTGGTGGATTGTCTCATCAACAAACAAGCTATGAGTTTTAGTGGATTTTGATTGTAATTTCAATAAAAAAACAATATTTCAAATTGCTTGTGTTTCAATCTTTCTCAACACATTTGTTCTTTCACAACATAATTTTAATTTGGTTCCTTAGTAAATTATATAAAATGTCTCTAATAACTAAGAGATAAAATAATTTGTGTACCTAATCAATACAATTTATTTTTTGTAAGCACAACAATGGATTAATGTGGTTCGAAAAACATCAAAAAGATATGGGCAAAAGCATTCACCATTTTAATAGGGGTGTTCAAAAAAACCGTTGGACCGTCCAAACTGGCCGAACCAAGTCAAACCAGATCGTTTTTGGCGGTTTGAGCGGTCTGGTGGTTTGGTCTGGTTTGGAATATAGCAAAACCGGGCGATCCGGTCTGGTTTGCGGTCTGAAACTTTTTTTAGGCGGTTTGGACCAAACCGATCGCCAAATACATATTTATTTTATTTATTTATTTATTTTAGTATTACCAATCTCAACTTTTTTAACTTATGAGCTATGATCCAAATATATCCATAAGCCCAACATAAAGCCTAACATCTAACATAATCAAATCCAAATGATTCGCCGCCTAAAACCCCTAAAGCAATAAACATATCAACACATTTGACATTGACGGTCTCCAAATTTTGAAATCCCTCAAGAACTCTACCAATCTATCGATCTTTCCTAATTCATGGTTTGATTTCAGCGCACATCATCAAGGCATGAATCAAGTGATTCAACCAGCTAAGATTTGTCTTCTATTTTGTTTAGTTAAGAATTGAAGGTTGTGAAGTCGTGGATTTTATTACTCAATACTCACAGTGGAATTGTGACTTTGTTAATTTGTTATGTATTATATATTTATTTGTGTGGACTTTGGATTGTTTGGATTTTGGACTCAAGAACTGTTTAATTATTACATTTCTTTGTTTGGATATTTTGTTTTGTTAAAATGGATATTTTGTTTTGTTAAAATGGATATTTAATTTAAAATTCTAAATTATATATGTTTTTTAAGTTTAATATTTAAAGTCCATTAAAGGCCCAAACAGCCCAAACCGGTCAGACCAGACCGCCTTTTCGTGGTTTGGTTTGACCGGTCTGGGCACTTGATGTCAAACCGCTCGGTTTGAAAATTTTATAAACCACTATTACGGTTTGGTTTGTGGTCTGAGAGGTTAAACCGCCCAAACCGGACCGCGAACACCCCTACATTTTAAGGTATCATGGCTTTTAGGACTTGGGCAATTATCAATGGTTATTTTCAAACCACTGCCAAGATGGTTACAGAAGTTGCACATAAACTAGTTGGATTGATAATTACCAAGTCCAAAATGTTGGGGCAAAATTGTTGAAGTTCCCCTAGTGCAGCATCTTTTTGGGATTTATGCCTGTACAATGGGCTTTACTAAAAACTAGTGTGAAGTACGATAGTTCAAGAATGTTGAACACTGTTCTAACAGTTACCAAATCCGAGTCATAAATCCTCACTTGCCATTTACAAGCTGATAACCTTCATTTTCATACAGTTAGATGTCATCATCAATCCATGACTAAATGTGTGTGTCTGTGTGTGTTCAAGTAATTGCCCTAATTGAACGCCTTCAAATTTATTCTATCTACTGTATATTCAATAAAAATTCTAAGAACATAACCTGAAATTACCAAAAAGAATTATTTCATTAAAACAAACCGCAATAGAAATCCATGCATAAATGCACAAATAGCACATACACACATATATCTAACAAAAATAAAGACGACAAACTGAAACACAACCGTTCTTAACAGTAGACATATACATACACGCGCGGACGCATGCATACATTTATACTGAACTACCAAAACACAATAATCCATCTTACGATAAACCGTTAATAGCAATCAGCAGAGAAAATTGAATGCATATCGATACATACAACGACATGCATGTGTGTGGGAGCGAAATCTTAGAAAATTCACAAAATGCAAATGCAAACGAGAATCGAAAACTCACAATTAAGGCGTTCCTTGCAGGAATAGTAATGGCCGATCGAAATTTGCTGGCGGTTGCAAGATTTCCAGAAGAAAAAGCAAGAGAAGCCATTAGCAAATCGTAAGAAAATCACAGAAGGAACAGTCAATGAGACGGTGAGTTTGAGAGAGAAGAGAGGAGAGGAGAGGAGAGGAGAGGGAGGGTTTAGATCTCCTGCACAATAAGACGGTTGTAACAATAAATTGCATTATTTTTTTCACACTAAATTAGGTTATTTACACTATAAAATATTTGATAAAAAAATTTAAAAATTATTTTTTATATTACTTAAAATTTAAGATTACAAGTAATTATACGTAAATATAACTTATTAAAATTTCATCTTTAAATACATATAACTAATTGTAGATAAACATAACCACATAAATGATAAACATCTCATTTTAAATATAAAAATTTAAAATATAATTAGAATAATTCTTGATTTCTAATAACATATTTAATTATTATTTTTATAAAAAATATATTATTAAATCAAAAATAAAAATATATATTAAAAAAATACATAGAAAAAGGAATAAATTAAATAGTAAGTTTGATACTAATATTAATATTTTTAAAAAAATTTATTACATTTTTATATTTATATTTTATTTAAAAATAAAAACATTATCGTTTTTAAATCGTATTATAAGATTAATTGAAACAAAAAAAATAAGATATTAAAATCAGAAAATATATCTTTACCTTTCTCAAGTGTTCTTAAAATCCAAGGAATAGTTGTCATGGACGGACCCAGGTATGTGGTATAGGTGGCACATGTCACCGTATTATTTCTCCGCCGAATGGTAAAAAATTAGGTTTCGTGAACAGTGCAACCATATTAATTTGTTGTGTGTCACCGTATGTATTTTGAAACTACAATGAGAACAAACTTTATTTGGTAGAGTTGGTTTACAAGTCTTTTATTCCACCCCACACCCAAGTTCGAATCATGTTAGTGTCATTTTTTTAGTCAAATGGTGTCACCGTTTGAAAAAGATTCCGTATATTTGTTTCTTATAGTCAAACGGTGTCACCGTTTGAAAAAAAATTCCTATATTTTTTCCTTATAGTCAAATGGTGCCACCGTTTAAAAAAAAAATTCTGGATCCGTTCAAGATTTTAAAAGATATGATTTTTTTTAAATTAATTCAAACAAAATTTCTTGATGATAATTACAAGATGTCAAAGTATCTTTTCAATAATTTTATCATAATTTCCTTTTTTAGAAAATTTTGATTAAATATCAATTTTGTCTTCGGATATTGTGGTATTAATTATGTTATAAAGATATTAAATATATTTAAATATTTCAACAACTTTTTTACAAAATATTAATTTTCTATTTAATTTTTTAATATATATTAACAGTAGAGTAAACTACAAATTTGGTCCATGTGATTTGTTGTTTGGAACACTTTTGGTCCCTATAGTTTCGAAATTATAAATTCACCATTGTGGTATGCAAAAATACCCCTGGGTTAACGGATTCTTTTATCGACAGATAAAGACAGAGATGAAATTCAGTCGTGTTTGCATACCACAATGGTGAATCTGTAACTTCAAAATTGTAGGGACCAAAAGTGTTACAAACAACAAGCTATTGGAACCAAATTTGTAGTTTTCTCTAAAAAAAAATATTATATCTAGAGTAAACAACAAATTTGGTTCCTTGATTTGTAAAAAAATAACAGTTTTTGTCCTTGTAGTTTTGTAATTATAAGATGGTCATTATAGTTTGTAAAAACGTTCAGATTTGATCCCTCCTTTTAACGATCGTTAACCTATTAGATGGTGGGAATTTTCGTCATTTTATTTTATTTTTATCTTTTATCCAATCAAATTTTTTTTTTTTTGCTCCTTGTGATTTTTATCGTGTAAAGAATAGAAAGATTAATAAAAGGACGAAAAATTTCATTTAACATAAACTTTTTAATGATCATTAGAGGGATGTATCAAATCTAATGTTTTTACTAATCACAATGACCATCTTGTAATCATGGACAGACCTACCATGGTGGTTAAGGTGGCACGTGCCACCGTATTAATTTTCCGTCGAAGGGTAAAAAATTTAGGTTCGTGAAAGCTGCAACCATATTAATCTGTTGTGTGCCACCGTATGTATTTTGAAATTACAACAAGAACAAGTTTTATTTGGTAGAGTTGGTTTGCAAAGCTTTTATTTCACTCAATACCCAAATTCAAATCTTGTTAGTATCATTTTCTTAGTCAAATAGTGGCACCGATTGAAAAAAAATTCCGTATATTTGTTTCTTATAGTCAACCGGTGCCACTGTTTGAAATTTTTTCGCTATAGTTTTTTCTTATAGTCAAATAGTGTCACCGTTTGAAAAAAAAAATTATGGGTCCGTCCCTGCCTGTAATTTAAAATTATCTATACTATATTATAAAGCATTTGATACAATCTCTTAAAAACAACTTTCAAAGCATTATGTACTAATATCTAATGCTAAATTACTTAATATTCAAGTTTACAAATTTTTAATACTTTGGTACAACTTGTTAAACATATCTCATCATCCCTAATCTATCGACTTCCAACAGATCCTCGAATTTATCAGTTTCACCCATAGCTTCACCCATATTCTTCTATTAGTCGATTGCTTCATACATATCCTTCCGTCTATCTATTTCAATAGATTTAGATTACCTCCGTCAGACGAATTGTTTCATCCATATCTTTCTATCAATTTCAACAAGGTTTAGATAACCTCCATCAGACAATGATTCAAGAAATTTAGACGGATATACATATCATTTTTCATTTCTATCACATCCTCTATTCATATATGAATTGCTTCATCCATATCCTTCTATCGATTTCATCTGGTTTAGATAACCTCTATCAGACAACGATTCAACAAATTTAGACGGATATACATATCGTTTTTCATTCTATCACGTCCTCTATTCATATATATTTGAAGCAGGTTCTTCAGGATACAGACAGATTCCAAGCTTCCAAGGTTAGTTTCCTTCAATTTTTTATTTTTATTTTCGATTTCAATTATTTACACTATACGTGTTTTCTACAAAATTTTGTTTTTTTATTCAAACAGAGTCAATATCTTTCAAGATTCGTTCCTTATTTTTTTGGGTCCTTTTTTGTTATTCAAGATTCAATTTCTAGGGTTAATATTTGTGATGAAAATGTTCTTTGTGATTCTAAACGTAATGAACAGGGGTTAGTACTCATATGACACTGGAATCCAGGCATTCCATCTATTCTCTTGGTTCATCTATCAGTGCTACTTTACCACATGCTACTTCCTTTCTGTCGGAAACGTAAGTCTCTGTTGGAGGTTTTGTTGCGGGGACATCTTGTGGATGGATCCATTGCTTGCAGGGACAACATTGGTTGAAGCTTCTCTTCATAAACTTTTCGTTATTGATCGAACCAAGTGATTATTAGATGACAAAGTCTAAGAATTTTAATATTATAATCATATTTGATTTTATGTCTAAAAGGTCAATTCTTGGATTGACTTTTTGCAGATTAAAACCCTTCTTGCATTTGAATATTACTAGGAAAAACATGTCTTTCCTTGGTTTAATGCTTTATTTCTTGAGGATATATCTTACCAGCTACAATGGTTTATTATCAAATGTCTTTGCATTTAATTTTCTTAAGTAGTTCATTTCTGTAACATTGATTCTTCATTTCTTGGTTTCTGTATTCTCTTTTGAAACTGTTGATATAAACCAGCTAAAAATGATTTAAATCAGAAACTTGATATACACCAGAGGACTAGGTAACTTTGTTTGATGTTGTTTATCAGACTGCTTGGACATGGAATTATCATTCTAACTCTAAGCATGATCTGCGTGGTCCCACAGATTGAATCTTGAACAACAAAAAGGTGAAAACATTTGATTTCAAAGTTGTTTAATCAAATGCAATTTAAATATTTAATTCGTTTCTTATGTTATTTTGTTGTAAAGCGTATACCCTTTTTGTCAAATACGGGTCAATAGCCCTGTTCAGAATCTTAGCTTGAGCCTACCTTCGCACACCTCCGTTACTCTTTAGGAGGCATCCGCAAAAAATAAACCAAGGGCATGGTTGGTTCGTTTCAAGGAATCGGAATCAAAATAGGAATATATATGTTGTAGAACAGGAATCAATATGTCCATTATATTATCTTGTTCTATATTACTTTTCATTGTTGATCTGTTTGGTTAAAAAATGCATTCTACATTGACAGTCTCTCACTCTCATAACAGAAAAGAACCATCCATCATATCCATTTTCCGAAGAACATGGATGCAGGTGGAACATTGATGAAGAACATGGATATAGGTTGGGACTATAAAAAGACTATTTAAAATATTCCTAATTTCATCTGCATCACCATCGTCATCACTTCATCTCTAAACCCACGAGATCTGATTAATATGGTTAGTAAAATCATGTGTAAAATCGAATTGAAGAAAATCAACAAACCCAAAACTAGAAAAAGAAAACGATTATTGTGAAAGCAAAATTGAACTGAAGAAGTTTTTTGAAAGTATGGATGTAATTAGATGGTTCAGAGATTAGTTTGTATGATTATGAATGTAGAGATTAGTTCGTATAATTATAAATAATTTGTTTCTAGATGTTCATGTTTTTAATAAGAATCAGAACAAATTTACGTATTTGACTGTCTATATATAAATATGTAGGTTTACAGTTGATTATAATTTTTATTTTATTTAAACATACATTTTTAATTATTTATTTTCATTCTTGATTTACAAAAAAAATTTATATCTGATATTATCCATCAACATTCATCAAGTTGTGAACCCGTTTTCCATTTTTGCCAGACGACTTGCATCACAAAATTGGTCAAGACATTCAAAGTTTAGGTGTTTCATTCCTATTTTGGTCGAACCATAAATAACGGTTTGATCCTAAAGTCGCACCAAACTTCTTAGATATTGGTCAAAAATCAAGCCAAACCATTTGATTTTGAATCAATTCTTTCACTAGTATCCCTGAGTGAGGTTTAGACTTGTGACCGTTCTCGTTTCGGACGAATCCCAAGTGGAAAAATCGTTTTTCGTCAAATCAGGCAATGTTAGGTTGATGTATGATGAGGTTTTTTGGAGAGTAATCTGATGAGGTTTACATGTCTCATCTACAAGACCCTTACTAGTGGTTTGATCCCAAAAACCAACAGCTCAATCCCAGTACCAATCGCAAAATACAAATTATGTTGACAACTTAGGGGCTGATTACCGAACGCTTACCCAGGTAAGCGCATATCAAGTCATATTATCTTACCGGATGAATATGGTAAAAACCAAGAATCTTATCCAGTAAGAGCGAGACATGGACCAAGAGTTTTACTCGGTAAGTGAAGACGACAACTGCTACCATGGTAAACGCTTACCAGGTAAATTGTTGCATACGATGTCGTTTTGATGGACTAAAATCTTATCCGGTAAGTAAATAATAATGTTAAACTTTACCGGTAAGCACTTGTTGGGTAAATGTTTGGTAGCATAATCGACAAGATGATAACGAGTTAACGACACAATAGTACTCCTCAAAAAACTTATTGTGATTGTCATCGGCAAAACATCGATGCCAAAACTTCAAGTATAATAAACATACCCAAAACCCCAAGCGGTTGCAGAAAAACGCAAAAACAGCTCTAGAGGATCGAATCCTTAGAGCACAATGTACATTCAGACCAATTATACAATGAACAAGAACCCGATTACATCTTTGTGCCAACCCTACGCTCGATTAAAACCACTGTGAAATGCTTTTACAGGTTAACTTTCTACAATGATCTCATAATCATTAGGTGCTGTATATTAAACACGCTGCAAAACTCAAGAGGATGAATATATAGGAGCGGGCAGAAAAGGAAATGGGGCGACAGATGCATATGCCACAGGTGGGCGTGAATGGTTCTGTTTCACCCTGTCGGGATTTCTGCTATCTTGCTCGTAGGCAGTAGTTGTGTGAGAAATGACCATATGATCCTTGGTGTTTTCGGTTTCAAGTGATTGATGATCATCATCATAAATGCGGTGGAACATAAGCCCAGACATGAAAACCGGAAGATAGAGAAGACTTGCGTGGAACATTCTTCTTGCACTTGCTTTTGTACGGTTTTTGAGAAATGAGACTGCAGTTCCACTGATTGCTAGAGCAAGGAGTGTTGATTCGAGACAGAACCATCCGGAAGTTATACCCCCTGCAAAATAGTTCATACTGTAAGGGGAAAAAGGCACTCAAACTCGATTTGTGGGAAGCTTAGTTAGAAGAATAACCTTTTGATTGACTTTTCTTACATGCACGACCTTCTAACATATTTAAGAACGGGTCTGCCTATAAACCAGACAAGAAACAGTCGGCCAAAAACGAATGATACATTTTGGTTCTTGGTTCCTATATTTAAGAAACTTTGGCACTCTTTTTCATCCAGTTCAAAATGGATCAGACAGTTCCTGGTTTTCTTAATCTTTTTAGAGACAAAATATTCAGAAATGTGTGTATCAAGTTTCTACCATCATCCTCTAGTAATCATCTAAGCTTCTTACTTCTTAGGTTAATCAATATTTCAAAAAGTCTAAAAAATCGAAATAAAACAGCAAAAGTTAAACAAGTAATAGTTGCTGGTTCTAATCATCTAATACTTTTCAATTTTGGTTTTTCAGCTGGGTCCCAGTTCAGGATCAATCCAAACACCCAATATAATACAACCTACTAAATAAAAGCTGTGAAAGTTACTGGACTTTGTAATAGTTATTGGTTCTAATATGTTCAATTTTGGTTCAGGATCGGTGCAAAAACCCAAACATAATACAACCTACGGAATGGAAGTAGTGGAAATTTACCGGACTGACACTCTTGCCAAATTTAACCTTTGGAAAGCAGATGCAAAGAATATTAAAATAGCTACTAGGATAAGAAAAAAGTTATTGTGCATCACAATCTTCATCCAAGAATATTGCTATTTTAAAAATGAAAATAGCAATATTCCCTTTTTTAGAAAGATTTTACGTATTTGCTCATTTAACCATTACAAATAGTTGATATTGATTTGGATCCACAAGATTCTTTTGTTGTCATTATTGAAAGTCAAACAAATTTCTTAAAGCTGCAAACCAAGTCAGGCCTCACAATTTTTACGGGACGAAGGAAGCATGGTGAAGGCTGTTATATGCAACTTCTTGACTTCAAAGCCAAAAGTCCAATGTTTGTATTTTTTCCAAACAAAAATCCCTGTCTGTCCAATGACAATTCAGCAGTTTCTACTATGAAAAATTGAAGTAGTACCTAGTCTGGCAAATCTTCAAAGTAAAATTATATATTGTCATTTATTTTCGCTATGAATCATTGATGGTATTGATTTTGGTATACAAGAATGTCTTTATTTTAACAAAGCTAAAGGGTATAAAACATGTAACTAATAGACAAACAACTCAAATTAATTGTGGCACATTCATTGTTGCAACTTCTATGAGACGAAGGGATGTGATAATTTGTTGATTTTCAGGATATATAATTAAGAAGTGCTTAAAAATTAAATAATCCATTATAGATCTCATAGTTCATAGAGAACTTACAGTCGTACGCCAAGTATCCCAATGGAATCAAATAGATGCAATTCCTCAAAGCCACCAAAGCTGTTCTCCTACCCGAAGGATCAGCAAGAGAGAACATCTTAAACCTGAATATTACACAAAGATGGGAACCAAGAAATAAATATCTAGATAGTATACATGCACAATCATGTACCAGGACGAATAAACACAAATTTGGTGCTTAAATAACTAGCATGTTTGTAATGAACAAGTTAAAGACAGCAATAGATAAAGCAGAATCTGATAATTTATATGTTATACTCAATGTCAAGTAACTCGAACACCCAACTGTTCATAAGAAGGATATTTGTCAAAAAGAAGCCAAGTAATTGACTTCTCAAACTATGTACTGCGCTTAATGTTGCAAAAAAGCAAAAGAGAGAAGAAAGTTGCTCTTATGAAGAAGCAAAAAAGAAAGACTATGTCGCTCTGCAAGAATCAGCTTTTTTGGACAAAAACGTCATACATGATGGGGTTTCTTTTTCCATTTATATTTGCAAAAAAATTCAAAAACCGCTCATTGTTGCAAACTTTGCAAGAACAATTGTTAGTTTGCAGTGAAAACCAAAGTATAAGGGTTCAAAAAGTAAGTCGCTCAAGAAAATTAATTTTTAACTCCTTGTACTTGCTACATCCATATAAGCTGCCTCTTTCCATTTCACGGATGTTCCACAGCAAGAGTCCTCTTTCCAAATACGATAACCAAAAAAAATCATTAAATTATACCCTATACCGTACGAACGGCCCAAAACAAAAGCAGTAATATCCTTTTCCAAATTCCCCAAAATAAATGCAACGTTTTTCCCTTTTGCCAAAGTTTTTCCTTCTTACCTCTTTACTCCATAGGAACCACTACAAACTATTGATTGGGTTGATGACGGTCCACAAGATTCCTGTTTTGTCATTTATTGAGGGTGATTGTAAATATTTGATTAATAATCAAGCATTTAAGTTACAGTATCTGCCCGGTCAAACATTGCATTTATTTTCAAACGAAGAAAGTATTCACTAGGGTGTGAATTTTCATTAAGAGAAGGGGATACTCATAGTTAGATGTATAGATGTTCTGTTAAAGGAAATACTTCCTTGGATCTTTCTAGATAACCAGGTATTTTCTTTTTTGTAGAAACACGAGAACTTACAAGTGAACTACACAATCATAATCACACAAGTTAAATGAGGATTAATTAATAGTATAAAAATATAATAAAAACTTGGTTACATACCCTCCAGCTGCGTAGTCGTCTCGGCATAAATATGCAAGGGCCATAAAATGCGGTATTTGCCAAAAATAAAGGGCAGCAGGAAGGAGCCATCCATTAAGTGAAACCTGACCAGAAGCTGCAGCCCACCTTTAAGGAAAGAGAGAGAGGTTAGGGCGCAAATCTAGAAATGTACCAACAGTATACATATATGTTTGTTAAAAAAATGAAAATAAAAAACCCATCAATAGCTCTCCCTGTCCTTCAAAATATATAACAATAATGCATACTCCTTCAGTCTCATGAAATTTGCAACCTTTGACTTGACATGTATGTATAACTGGGGATGACTTCTTACACCTGTTATGGATTCCGAGCGGATATGGGATATAATAAAAACCCATGTCCACCTCGTACACGTATCATCATAAAAAAACTGTATAGTATAGAATTGAATATGCAAAACATGTATTTGTATTTCCTTTTGTGATTGTATCTTTTGTTTTTGCTATTGAAATTTATAGCTTTTTAACTTGTATATTTAGTTTGCAATGAGTATTAAGGATCCAATATGATAAACACAAGTCAAGATAATGGGTGGGAGATAATCAGGTGAAAGTTGGATATGAGGTAGTATAAAAGTGGTGGAGGGGGCAGGCCAGATATGGACCTGAAAATAGGATGTGAGGCAGGTGCATGGGATGACCCTGTCCTGAGTATCACAAGCAATATAACCCAAGACATCTAAGAGCTTGTTGCATCACACGGTTGATGAAGTGAAGAAAACTCTCATTCACTCGATTATCTTAAGAGTATAATTAACCTTGGAGATTTCATACTTTTAAGTAGATCAAAGGAAGCCTATAACTATTTGGGCGAAAACTCATCAAGGACCAAAACACAATCAATGACAAAATAAGAATAGCTAACTACTTCTAGGAGCCTAAACTAAAATAAGAGTCAAAACTAATTACAAGGTGCATTTAAGAAAGATTACCCAAGAAGAGGAGGAATTGCACCGACAACAGCCCCAACCCAAGTATTCACTGGATGTATCTGCTTCAATGGGGTGTATACGAATGCATAGAGAATGAGATTTGAAGCTCCAAGTCCAGCTGCCAATAAATTAGCCTGTACAAACCTTGCCGTAAATGTTATCATTTCAGTATTCCAACTCAAGGTAGGTCTCAAGAAAAAAGAAGAGTCATCAGTCATGACAGCAATTATGAATTCCTGTTATTTTCCACAAGTTCATGAAATCAATTTCCCACCTTGCTTGCCAGTAGAGCTGTGCCAGCAAGACCAACAGAAGAAGCCCATGTAACTGCATGAGGAATAGTAAGGCGTCCTGAAGGTAATGGTCTTCTCATTGTTCTATTCATCAATGCATCATTCTTAACCTCAAATACCTAATACACAAATGATATAACTTTAAGAATCACATGATGGAAAGGGAGCAAAAACTGAAAGGTTTACAAGAATGAGAGGAAAATCATAGATGTTTGTCACACCTCTCTTTTACCTTTTTCCTTCTGTTGACAAAAATGTCCATCCCCCAACAAATACAAATAGAACCAAAATAATAATAATAATAACAGTAATAAAACAAGCAAAGGAAACCAAAATTTACAAGCAACACATATTCAAATGTGTTTCAACCACAGCAGTTATTTCACTGTATGCACTAAAAGCATGTGGTTCCGAATTGATGTAGAATGCAATGCATACAAGCACATAATTTAGATCAATCTTTAACTTAGCTGAACATTAAAATAAGATATAGTCCACAGCAACGATCAGTAACTTGTCCAACTAGAATTCTGATGTATTCTACATATTCAGTGCAATGACATTGTTACAAGCAAGGAAATTCCAAAGAATATCAACACCCAACTCTCAAGCCATCTCAACTACAGCATTATTCTATACCCACTGGAGTCTACTAAAAGACATGCAATAGCGGCATGACACCACAAGAACCAAGAAGATAACTCCTTCGACCAAGACATTGCCAAATTATTTCCAAATGCCTAAGATGGTAGGTGACTGTCTGCTTAGGGTCATTAACTAAGAAAGGGCTAGATGTAAAGCAATAGGAAAGGTTAGGACTTACAAGGATGCACCACAGGTTGTTCAAATCATCAAGGTAAAGAGAATTGGACCCATAAGCATACAAGGCAACATGTTCAGTCACTTTTTCTTGTTAATTGTGCCTCCTTTTTACTTGTTTCTCTCTCCCTACTTGTTCTCGCCACGTGTTTCTTATATTCTTCTCTTTTTTATGTTTTTACTTCACTTTCTCCCTCTTTTTTGCCATTTTCATATTGTTTTGCCATTTGCACCTTGCGAACTGAAGCCATCTTTAAAGAGTTAATTGTTGCAATTGTGATGTTATGACAGAAAAGTAGAGAATAGGGCATGGAGAAATTTTGTTACATTGAAATCCCCAAAAAGGCTCATGATCAAGTTCTGACCCAACAAAGGAATGCAAGCATACTTTAGGCAGAAGGATGATCATAATCTTTCACTAGACCTATTTGCCCCCTGCCATACAGTTTCTGCAGCATGATTACCAACACTGTATGTATCATATTCGTCAATTCTCATCAATGTGAATTGGGCATAAAAATGACTTCATCCTTTTCTTCTACAGACTACAGAAGATATATAGAATGATGACTTTTTCATAGGGATGTGCAAAAGAACATGCTTCCACACCCAAATGATCCTAATATCATAGATTATTGAACATTTGAGTAGTAAGACCTCGATTGGTCTAGTTTGCTGGATCCTAGATGTAACCTTGGTTGGTATTCCTTCAACAGGAGAGAGCGAAAAGTGATAGAATTAAAGTTTGAACCCATTTAGGCCAGATAATCCTTTCCTTCTCTGTAGTTTCGTATTAGTATCACTTTTACCCTACCCAGGCAGTGTAGGATAAAGGCTATGTTGGATTTTAAAACAACATTGCATGATCGGTTCTCAGACTTAGAAGCTTTGAAACTCAACTTCAAATATGACGGCATATGCATTCCTTTTAAGAAAAACTAGCTAATTTTTTAAAAATAAGCCTCTATGAAAACCAGCAAAACTAGAAGACAAACCGAACAAAACAAGGGAACCTGATGACTGCTTTCCTGATTAAGTACTTGATGGTTTTTAGCAGAACAGACTAGAGTCTACAAGTCACATTTTCCCTTGCGCATCTGTAGTTATCTCAAGTACTTGCATGAGGTAGGCTGAGAAATTGGCAGTGTAAAGAGGTTATCAGGACCCACCTCCCTTATAAAAGAAGAAAATAGGTGAAAGTAAAAATAAAAAACCTGTACATAAGAATAACTATACACTTTTTCGAAGATCTTGGCCAAGTTATAGACTTCAAATGCAATGAATATGATACTGATAGATACTAATTGAAGTAATTATGTACGAGAACAAAGCCATCAGGTGAATGAGCCAACATCTAACTGGCATTACCTCCAATTAACAGTTATTGAACGCCCTGTGAATTGTGATTAATAAGAACTAGTTATGTACCTGTGAAATGCAACTGGATGTAAAATTTTATTGGGAAACAGAAATGGAAATTTTTCCCAATTGCTACTTAAAAAAAGAAAGTCCGAAATTTATGATTGAAAAAAATAGAAATTACAATCAGTCGTAATCATGCACATTTTATACATATATGGCTATATACGTGTGTGTGTGTTACATTGCTTTGATTTTATTTTATTAATTTCTTTACAAAGACGGGCCTATAGAGAGAAAATCCACTATGTGAAAGGTTACTATAAATTTATCATCACAGATCTATTCATTCAAGCCTCCCCCAGTTACACCCACACTCTCCAAAGATTTAACTTGCTTTTCTACACTCTATAACAAGAGAACATGAAAGAAAAGAATCAAATACTTTAAGTGCATTTGATTGGGCTAGACTTCTTCTATAGGCATGAAGCTCACTCCACCTACGTGGGACATGCTTTCAGCCAAAAATTCTTAACAGACCATAACTCTCAATGTATTAGTAAACTTGTACTTGATGCTTCATAGATGTTGTACTCTTGAAATTAAAAGTTTTTAAGACTTCTATGTAAATGTTCTATAAGGTAGTATAGATAATGTCTCCAGTTGCACTAGAAGATTACTTCACAATGTAGATATCCCATGAATTATATATTGGAAGATAATTAATAAAAATATTTTAAATGCAAAATTTCACATTGAGTTATTGCATAGGGAATTAGACTTGATGGTTCAATTTCCAGCCTGCTTACAAACCCTTCCTATGTCACAAGAATGATAAGATCACATTTTTACTGACCTGATTTAAGGTGTTAGCAGATGCTGCCACCATCATGGTTCCCACACAAGTGTAACAAAGTCCTGCTAAGTCAACGGTACTACTGCTCCCAAGAACATAACCAGCTCCAGATGTAGCAACCACTAGCATGCTAAAGATATAGAAAAAAACAGATAAGATATATGAAAAGTATCATATTTTGTGCGTCTATTCTCACAACAAATGATGATTGATATAAAACAAGAAACATTAGTTATAGAGGCTTAAAAATATGTAACTGAACCAACGTAACAAAATGGAGAAACGATTTTTCTGCAAACAGATGGATATATCTACAAGAAGTTGAGTGTAGCAAATTGATGATACTAACATCAGTAATTACAGCTTCTAGAAAGAAAAGCATGTCCTATGCATTGCTCGAAATTCAACGTTATCAAAAAAGTTCAACCACAACATGAACTTTATAATCATTCACACACATAATCAACCATAAGCTAGATTCTTCATCAAGACAGCAAAAATCAGGATGACATTTTCCACAGTTGAAGTCTTTTTTTGTTATTAGAAATGCATGTGGTGTTCCCTTAAGTTTTGTAAGTATTGCTTCCAATTTTAGTCCATGCCCACGAAAAAGAAAACCAGAAAGAAAATCTGCTCCCCGGACCATAATAATCCCAAGTCCTTACACAAAATCTGCTACTCTAGTCCTGCCTCTCTACAAAATTTGCTACCCTAGTCTTGTCTGCTCTCTCACTCTCTGTGTACGTGAATGATTTGGCGCTTCTAATTTTAACGTACTCACGTCTCATATGAGATGGACCTCATATTTGTTTTCCCTTTTCCTTTCTCTCAAGATTATACTACAAGATTAGGGTGGATCAGCCTCCATGGTCGTATTTTCTCTATTATACACATTCTTAGGTTTTGTTTCATAGATATCCTGGCATGTTGCTGTAGAGGTTTTATGTGTTATATTTCTTTGAAGCAAATATAATACTAGTAACAGATGCAACAGAGAAAACAATTTGCATTTTTTGGTGTAAGATCCATAAAATGGGTAGCTATGACATCGTTGATGGATTTTCTACTTATATTGGACGGAAGGGTGTGCGCATTGTGAAGGTGGGTCCTTGGGGATGAAGAAGATGACAAATTAATTGTGTTTCATACAGTTCTTTGAACACAAAATCACTTGCAGAAACAAGATAAATACATGCAAGGGATGTAAATGAATCATTTCATCAGCACAGTTCGATGCATTTTATTAATAACGTCCTCATTCAATTATCCCAACCAACGAACATCATAAGAAGAATATCCCAATGAACAAGAGATTAATAGAAGATATTCCCAACTTGAAAGAATATGGCAGTAGAGAACATGGAATTCCATTTTTTGGTACACATGGAAGAATGAAGCATGGAGCATAACACACTGGTTCCAAGGAATCATATAAGTGATGCTAATACAAGGCCTAAAATTAATAGGAATGTAATGTTTGATACCATTACTCTTCATGACCTTTTTATCTTGCAAGTAAGATTCCGACTCCCTTAAGAGTCAATTTTGGGAGCACTTTGATCAACAATTTGGATTAACCACGCGGAATTACTTAAAATGTAGCATTATTGATCATCCATCAGCCAAAGGCCCCTGCTGTTGTGAAGAAGAAAGAACAATGATTAGTGCCTTTCTCTCTAAATCTCAGTTGCCCTTCGTTTATTCTTTAAAATTCTTCTTATATCTATATAACAATGCTTACGTGTACAGTCATATAGATTCCATTCTCCCCTTCAACTGAAAGTCAAGGAAAGTGTCACCAGGCAAAAGGGCACTGCCTTATTTACTCACTATTTACTTATCCCGCTTTTGCAGCAGAAAGAACGATACTTCCTCGTATATCAAAATCTTTGAGACAAATTCTACGTCAGAGCTCCATAACATCAAATAAAGATAACAAAAAGTGGCTTTCCTTCAGAAATCCAAGTGATGATAGGATTACAGACATTAAACACTTGCTAAGCATCAAAATATATATTTTCTTTGGTAAAACTTAGATGAAACCACATGAAAATAAGTCATAAACTCCTGTTCTGCCCAATACTTTTTTCTTGCTGGGAAAATAAGCAAATACTCTTTTCTTCTATAATTTTCCATCATTCTTTCTGTCTAATGAAAGCTATCTGTTCAACCTTGATCTTCCTAGTGGTTTCTAAAACCCTGAACTTCCCAACATTAATCTCATTGCTGTCACCCTATGTGACTTTCAGTCTCTCAACCAGTTACTAATAACTGCAATGGGAAGAATATTAGTGGATAGACATCTACTTATACCCATTCAAATAAGTGAAGAACACTTCCTTTCTAAATCTTTTACAGTAACAAAAGACGGATTTTTGTTTTAGACTATGATAGGAATTATGCTCCCATTGTTATCATCATAAGAACATCAACAGAACCACCACAACTGCACCAACAAAAATCTCAATCGAGTCCTTTAGCGTATCTAGAAAATATTCCTTTTTAATTCCCAGCACGTATATCCTAGTCCATACTAATATCAGTATTGTAACACAATCATATTGACCTGATCAATCATAAGAATCAAAAATCACGAATTATGCGAACACTGGGGCAATCACATCGATAAATACGTAGTAAAATACCAAAAAGAAAGGAATTACAACTAACCTAAGCTTAGCTTTGGAGAGCTCCCAATAACACCGACCATAATGTCTTGCCATATCAACCACTTCCCTCGCTCCTAACGTCGTCGCACCGACGATATCAGCAGTTGACCCGAACGCCCGTACCCGATCGAGTCCCGAAATACCTAGTTTCCCCGAATTGGAGGACGGCCCCACAGCGGTGGAGCTGGATCTAGTGAGTAATCCATAGCCCTGGTCAACGTCTGGGATTTGCAACAGACGAAGAGAAGTTGGTTGAAGGTTATTGTGGCAGTTGAACTTGGACGAGGAAGAGGTGGCGAGTTGAGTAAAGTGACTCAGTGAGTTTCTTCTTCTCCACATGGCCGCAGATTCCGGCTAATCGCCTGGAAGAAGTGGCGGAGATGCGCAGCGACGCTTCAACCTTGGCGCAGAGAGGGGAGACGGAGACGAAATCGTTGAGGTCTTTCTTGGTAGATAAAATAGTGATCTTTTGCCCTTGTACTTTGATCATTGTACAACTTTAGTACTTCAACTTAAATAAGTATTACTTTTGCCACCTAATTGTTGCAGTATTTTTATCTACATCAACTTCCTTCTGACATAGTCACATAAATAGAAGTGGTGACTCGTATGTCTAACAATTCACCATTTGAAACTTTCCTTCACAAAAATGATCACATAAATTTAATTCAAACAGTTTTAGGACCAAAACAGAAAAGAACCGTTGAAATAAGACCGTCAAAATAAAACATTTCACTTTTTCAAAGAAGTATTAATTCTACCTTTTATAGGTTGAAGTAAAGATGGCTAAAGTGGGATTGGTTAATGGGACCAACATGAAACTAGGACCATGGTTAAGGCCATGTCCATCTTTTCCAGGTAACTGATTAAGGGGATAATACTTTTGGGACGGTTATCCAACCAGGTTAAGAAAAGCCAGTTGTATTTTTTAAATCAAAAAAATTAATCCCAACTGGCCATTTTGAGCATCATTTAGTATATATATAAGGTTCTGTTTGTTTTTTATAATTTGTTGTGGAGGCAATGTTGGATGAGTTACCAAATTGTTGAACACACAAAAAAACGTTCTTGATATTCACTATAACTCGTAATTTTCGACTCATTTTTCCGTTACGACTCTTAATATTCGTTAATATTCTACTAGTAATCTCCTTTTTTTTCGTTCCAACAAATTACAAACGGTATGCTCCCGACAACCCAGGTGACTGATCCAAGAATGTACAAATGAAAATCCAATGTTTGGGATGCATACAAATTGGTGGTTCTTTAAAGTAAGGGACAAAAGACACAATGCAAAAAGTATCAAGCTCACTTATGGCGAAATGAAATTCAAGTATGAAGCTCGAGATAAGTATAAATTTGGTCGTTTAATGTGGATTTGAACCAAAAAAGTGATAACACAATGTGTCTTCGAAGAAGGGTTGCCATTAGCGCTATTTGACAACCCTCAGTTAATGAAGATGATTACTAAAACCTTTTCTACAATTCGGTAAGTCGTCAAATTCTTAGATGAGATGTTATAAAAATGTGGGAAAATGGAGCCATTACAAAATGCAACAAATGCTTTTTAATTCTATATAACATGTATTAGAGGGCTTACCACATTCTTATATATGCATAATCGACCATCGGATTGACTCGATCACGTCCGAGCCATTTGGTTCGCTAAAGATATGTATTTTTTTTATTTTAAAATTTGGATCGGGTTAGGAATCGGTTATGTAACTAGTCACATTTGGTTTGACCAGTTATCAATTTTTAGTCAGGAATTGGGTCCACGAGAAGGACATGAACCGAAACCGATGATTGGACCCTCCATGCCCCATGCTAACAACCACCTTTGACCCGAACAATATAATGAATATATAATGTTATTTTTTAATATTATGGTTATTTCTTTTATCGAAATTTGAATTTTTTTAATTTAATTTATGAAATTTTGATTTTTTTTGTTGAAAAATATTACTTTACTATTTCAAACACTGCATATTATGTTGTTCTAAATATCATTCTGATTTTTTAATAACATGATAATTAAATACATTGTCATAATGTATGTTAAGAATTTTTAATACATCGATTTTGGAGTTTCTTGATTTTGTTTGTATGATAAAATCAGTACATTTGATTAAATAAATATAAAATCACGTCGTTAAGACACGCAAAGTCACTTTGAACTTGTATTTGAATTCTTATAATCAAACATAGATGTAATACTAGGTTTTGAAAACTAGTTAAACCCGGATCATGACAGGTTACATTTTAATAGGTTAGGTTATGTTTGACAAACTAGCTGATGGCTGATAAGTTAGATGGTAAACAGATCATGTTTAGTAAAACTAGCTTATAAGAATGTAAAATGACTAAAAATGATATCTTGAAAATTTAATTAAGTATAATATTTTAAAATATAATTGAAACAAACCTATAATAATATAATATTTATACTATATTATAAAACATTTAACAAAAATTCCTAAAAACTGTTTTTTATCATGAAGTACTGTTTGTTGATGTATATTACTTAAAATTTAAGATTACAAAAAAATTGTTCGTAAGTACAACTTATTAAAACTTTATTTGAATTTGTGTGTAATACCCCATTTCACATTTGCATATAACCCACTTATTTCATATAACATGAAATAAAAATATACACATTGGTCTTAAATGTACAAATTGCTACGTTACAGAAGTAGCTACAAACTTGTTCTATTCACATCAAGTACAAAACTTGTAAACATAATAAGTTTCAAGTACAAATAGCATAACACTTTCCAAAAATTCACATATGTATAGCAATCATTTTCCTTCACATTTTCTCATTTCCCTTATCCTCCAATTGTATCTGACCTGTAATTCACACTTTAAAACACAAAATGATGGTTAGATCATGAGGTCTAGTGAGAAATCATTTTTTGATTGCTATTACAGAGTGAAAATCACCAAAACACTTTTAAAAAACCCATATTTATATAAATAAACATCTTTGTCGCATCGTATAGATGAGACAACTTCAACTTATCGCATCATATTCATGGTATATTAACTTATCGCATTTAATATAAAATAAACCAAATTTATCGCACCTCATGGATGCGATATAATAACTCCTCGCATCCTTCAGATGTGATAACTCAATCTTGTCGCATCATACTGATGCAACAACCTCCATTTGTCGCATCCAACATATGCGATCATTCCAACTCGTCGCATCCAACATATGCGATAAACAAACTTCTCGCACCATATAGATGTGATAAAAGTAATTTCTTCCACCATACTAGTGCGATAAATTCAGCATATCGCATCACAAGGATGCGATAAATAACACTTCAATTTTCATCTCAATTTCATCGCATCACACATATGCGATAAAAATCAACCTCATCGCATCACAGTAATGTTATAACAGATTCCCATGATCATAAGATCATCCATTCCAAAATTTGATTATGTCACCTTTATTTCAAAAATATACACCTCTCCTGATTTTGTCACCCTTATTACCAAAATGTCAATCTCCTGATTATGTCACCCTTATTACTAAAAATATTTATCTCGTGATTATGTCATCTTTATTATAATTAGACAATAAAATCATATCAAAACCCAAAAATTATGCTAATAAATAACATATAATCATCACATACTCATGTATGAAACCTTACAGTTTCTTCACCAAAAACATATTAAATAATGTTTTCAAAGTAAAACTCACCTTGAATTCACAATCAGATGAAGACTCTAATCCAACAGCAAATTTCAGTTAAAATCACGTAAGGTTCTGTCACTACATGTTTACTTCCATTGTAGGTACTTCATGAATCTAGGAACTTTTGCTTGCATTGTCTTAGGGCTTTTTTTAGTTTTTAAGATGGGTTGGTTTCATTATCATAAAGCTGCTCCAAAACTGGCTTAGTTTCAAGATGTAGAATCTATGTTGAATCACCATGTACGGTTCTGTAGAGTGGCAGTAAGAGCCACAAAATTTATTTTGTACAATGTGGGAGGTTCCATTACGAAAGAAGAATGAAAGAAGAACGAAATTAAGAAAAAAAAAGTTCTTGGGTTAAGTCCCGCAACGAGCGCAACCCTCGTGTTTAGTTCAAATCCTGTTAGATAAGAATCGATACAATTTTGATAAGGCTCCTCCTCCGAATGAAATTCAATGGGATCCAGAGACACCATGTCTTCATCCATAGGCTCCCAAGCATCCAACTCTTCTTTTTTGTCTTTTGTTTGCTTTGAACATAGGAACCAACCACACCAACTTTAGGTTGGGTGACACTTTGGTTTGAGTTGGGTTGAGTTGAGATTTGTCAAACCGTAAACAATGGATTGGATTTTTCAAAACTCAAATGTCTTCAATCCGATCAATCCAACCGTTAAACATCTCTACTACTATAACACCTCATGTGTATCATCAATTACCACATGATCTGGATCCGTTAGTATACTGTATAAAGTAACGATTTTAAGTAAATGGTCACTTCCCGAAATAATTATGAAATACAGATCTTGTGATAATTAATAAATTAAACCAAATAATGAACATATGCCAAGTTAAGAAAACGACTTTCTTACTTTTAATATTAATTACTAGTAGCTTTAAGTGAAACTATTTTTTTCCATTTCTGTCATTCGGGAACAGACATTTCACCGCCGATCGAAGATTCATGAATCACAGACGGTATCTCCCTGTAACCTATCCCCTCTGATAACGTTCTTCCAAAACAGTAAATTCAAAATCAAAATTATAACGGAATTATTAAATTTATTTTAAAATAACAAAAAAAAAAATTAAATATATTTTTTTCATAATCACATAATGTTTTTTTTTAGGATAAAAGAAAGAACTTTAGAGAATAATGAGCGTCTTTTTCAACGTAACGTCTTTTGGCCTCCACGCAGCTTAAAACACGCACAAGAGCTAAACATAGCCATCCCCCTTCACACGTGCTACGCAAACTTACACTTTACTACCTTATACTTTTTTATCCAAGTTCAAATAGGATCCATGAAGGTACATTAGACCTCCCTATATTTTCATTTGATAACACTTCTGATCCATTTAAAAATATATTTTACAATACTAGTCCTTCTTGGAGGATTTTTTAATTAGGGTATGATGGTGATACACACAGACCGTTTTACGCCTGTACTTGAAACTGATTCTTTATGCTGACATAATTGTCGTGACTAAATAAGGTAGCAACTGATGACGTTGCATCATATAAGTGCTTCACGGCGATAGATTTTAAGATAAACATGTTGTAGATGTAAAAGAATAATATCGGCTAGTGGTCCAAGTAAAGATGCGTAAAAAGTATTCCATTGTTAATATGACACGTGGTTTATAAGTGTATGGTGGACTTTGTCGACCAATCCATATGGTGTGTTCCATAAGGTATCGATTTGATTAACAGAAAACTTAGGGACCGTTTAACAAAAGCTTACTCGGTAAACACTCCGTATCATTTCCCATACCGTATGAACATGGCAAGAGCTGATAATCTTACCCGGTAGGAACGATAATAGGATAGAGAGTCTTACCTGCTAAGTGAGGGTGCGAACTCTTACCTGGTAAGTGACGATTGTAAACTTTTACCTAGAAAGCCCTTGCTAGGTAATTTGCTGTATATGATATTGTTTTGATGGACTACAATCTTATCCAGTAAAGTAAGTTAGAGTCTTGACTCTTACCTCTAACCGCTTATCAAATATGTGTTTGGGTAAACAACCTCTTAATCTGTGAAGGCAATAAGTTTCTTAACAAAATAACATACATTATGAATAACATGAGTTCAAGAAAAGGTATGTGTAGACGAATCTCCAAATCAAATGGTTGTAATATGCGAAGGTGGATTTACGTTCTCCTTTACCTCTACTTATTAGCCTTACCCAAGTGCATAAAACTAATGATCCATGTGTATGTACATTCATAAACCAAATGTCCAAATTCGTACGCTATTAATTGATGCACAAATTAATAGATTTCATTGTTGTATGAATGGATTATGCATCATTATATCCTATAATTATAGCTTGATACCAGTATGAAACTGACAATTAATTTAAATAAAAAGTAATGTGCAATATAGTTGACGTTAAGCAGGGGAGAACACTGTATTAATACATGCATATTCAACTATTTGTATAATCTTCTGTTAAAAGAAAATAAGAAAAATCAGTCTACGAAACTACAAAATCATGATGATAAAGCATAAAATAACATGAGTTCTAGTAGTCTAAGAGAAGTTTACATCTGAAATCATATTTGATATAAGACTAGAAATTACAATTTCTTTCGTCTCGACCTCATTATTTCAGAAGGCAACTTATGATAAAATCCAGGGACTAAACTTAGGACCCTGTTAGCCATTAGTTGCGACTTTGTCACTAATCATGCATGGCAACATGTTTCTTAAAGCAAACATGAAATGCATGTATACTCACGTATTGGTCGGATTAAATACATTTAATACATGCCAACATCTTTGCTCGATCAACTGATTATCCAAATAATCAAATACCGGTTAAAAATCCATAATGGATACAATGTAAGATATGCCACTTAATTGCCATTCACCAAGTTTATGTTGTTTGACGATTTTAAGTTACAATATATATTATATATACCGAAACTACGACAACCAAAAAAATGAAGAACGAGAAACCATCCATCTCAACCATCAATTATTATTAATCCAACGGTCGTGAATAAGAGGGGGGGGGGGGTCTCATTTATCCGTAACTAAACCCTATGGTTGATGAAGGGGGTTCGCTCGTTTACCATTTTCTCGTGAACCACCCTATACATATATAGAGAGAGATGGAGGGTCCTGTTTAGTGAAATTGAGAAGAAAAAGGAGTAAAAATGAAAATTTGAGTCGGCTATATCGCATGTTTGCTTCACGCAAGCACTCTAATCTGAGGGTTTGCTTAATCTCGCGTGCCTTTAAAGTCTCCCTTTTCTTCTTATAATCCCCCATTTCTTCCCTTCAGCAGATCCACCGCACCCAAATTCTCCTCCAAAACCCTAACAATTTAATTTATTATGGCAAGCTGAAATTCAATTCGTTTCAAAATGAGTACCAGCAGCAGCAACGGTGGAGGTGGAGGTGGAGGTGGAGGTGGCGGTGGTGGACCTTGTGGAGCTTGCAAGTTTTTGAGGAGGAAGTGTGTGGCGGAGTGCATATTTGCACCGTATTTCGTCTCCGATCAAGGCGTTTCTCATTTTGCAGCGGTGCATAAAGTGTTCGGTGCTAGTAACGTTACCAAACTCCTGCTGCATATTCCCGTGAACAAGCGCCGAGATGCGGTCATCACCATTTGTTACGAAGCTCAAGCTAGGCTCAGAGATCCTGTCTATGGCTGTGTTGCTCAAATCGTTGCTCTTCAACAACAGGTTCAACCTCTCTCTCTCTCTATACATACATACATACATATATACATATATATATATATATATATATATAAACTGTAGTTTCGTTTGATCGTTAACTTAACGATCGAGTAGAACACAGTATCATTAAACTGATCCTAATTGACGTTTAATACTTAACAATTGTTTCTAATTATAATCTGTCTTCAACTAATTATGTTGATTCAAAATTCATATTGTATTTAATATCTGAAATAATCAATAATTATAACATAATTCACAACAATTATTGTAGATTGAAACAATTAATCTTTGTTAAAACTATATATTATAGTAATAAACGAACATTAGTTATTATATAAGTTTAACGGTAAACTTAGAAGTAGGATGATTAATCGTATAATCAACACTAATTTTTAATCTTCATTTTATGTACATAATATTTTTTTTAATATAAAAAATTATGGTATCTGATACTTTTAACCAAACTAATTTATACAAAGGACAAATTTAGAGTCTTTCAACCGATGTGAGGGCACGTGGGATTATGTCATGTGTGCATTCAGCGGTGAACAACTTTGACATCATAAATTAATTAAAAAGAGTCTGTTTTCAGTAATTGATGTTGGTTCTTTACTGATATTAAGAAAATGTTGCGTGTTGACATATTTTACATCTTGAATGGTATTACGTATACACATTTATTCTTTCAAACACAATTCTTGGTTTGTAGTTCTATAGATACAAGTTGAATTCAATGGATCAATTTATATATATATGTGTGTTTAATAACATATCTGTCGCTATCAACTTAACAACGCTCATCGGTGTCTAGAAAAAGCATGCTTCTTCGGTAATGTATATCTGTTTTTTTTTTATTGAATTTGATGAAAATGTATATGCCTGTATTGTGTGTTTTTAATGGTAAATACGTATACAAACATGACTTAATTGTTTCATTGGAAAATAGCGTGACTTTCGTCACAAATAAAAATGTAAGGTTAACCAAAAGGGAGCATTCGTGTAATTGATAGAGTTTATCAGTAGAATTCCGTCTTTCAAAAGTTAATGATTCAAAACCTTATTGAAAGTAAAGACTAGTATATGTGACATATTTTTAAAGATGTTCATCACTATTTTTATTATAGGAAAAAAATGTATCAAAATGTAAAGTATTTTGTATCGGATTTTATTTATGTAACATATTTTCAAAACATTTACTTTGGTATATCAGATGTAGTTCGATTAAAGTATGTTACACAAAATATGAATCAGATCAAAATACGTTGCATTTTAACCTATTTTGTAAACCATATACGTAAATGCTTGAGATGTTACATCCGAAATACGAAAATTAATGTTTTCCAAGTACATTGCACAAAATACGAATCAGAACAAAATAAGGACATGTTTGTTAGCAACTTAATGAGATTCACAGCTTATTCGGTCAGCTATACATGATTATTTTTGTAATAGCTAATGATATAAATAATGGTTTATTCTGTAAGCTTCTGGGGAACTTCTATGTAGAAAGCCATATTTTTTTTTCCAAATATGTCTGTCGCAATTAAAAAATACGCTTCTTTCGTTTATGAAAAACTATCCCTATAAAAGAAAAATCTTCTGAATTTATACAGACAACTTAATTCATACAGACTGTTTTATCCATATATAATTTAATGGAAAATCAACCAAACAATTTTTAAATTGTATTTTCATGTTGTCTACTTTTAATTACATATACTTATATATTCGATTAATCCATTTGTTTGATTGGTATGTTTTGATTTTATGTCCATCTCCCAAAAAATAAAATAAGAACATTGTATACATTAAGACCGTTACTTTTGATTTTTATATACTTCAATTTTATAAATAAATAAAAAAAGTAGAGTTGTTTACAAAATAAACTTCATGCTTTAGTAAATTTTAAATTTGTTTTTTCTGTTTATTAATTATTATAAAATATTGATAACATTCATTTTAGTCCATAATATTTTATTGAAGATTATATGAGCATTAATAATGTCCATTGCATCGAAAGAGCAAAGGAAGAAGGTAAAAAAAAGGTGTTGGATTGAGTAAGGTTGCATGGGGATCTACACAAAATATGTTTCTTTTGGTTTGAACAGTTTGTCATTGAGTAATCTTCAAGGTTTCTCTCTTACTCACATTTTTTTTTATTTTCATATAACATGTCATACAAACTTCGTTTATATATATAGAAGAACGATCAAATGTAAATCATCCAATTGTACAAATCATACAAATTATCCTTATCTGTCGATTTTATTATTTATTCTTATGAAATTTTTCCTGAAATTGTTTAATCTTGTGAAATTGTTTCATATAATATATTTTTTTATGAAGTTGTTTCATATATGGTTATGAAATTGTTTCATATAATACTTAATGAAATTGTTTCATGTATTTATCTAAAATTAAAATAATGAAGATGATAATATCCATGATTAACATCATTCATAATAAAAACGATAAATCAACATCTTATAATTACAAAACAAAATGAACAAAAATAAAAAATTATGATTGGTTGAATGAGGTTTATACGGTTTGTACAAATAACGTGGTTTGCAAAGTAAACCTCCTATATTATATGAGACAATTTCATAATCATATATGAAACAACTTCATCAAAAAAAAGTATTATATGATATAATTTCACAAGATTAAACAATTTCATGAAAAAAAAAATTATAAAATTAAACAATGAAATCGACGGATGAGAGTGGTTTGCACGGTTTGTACAAATTGGTGGTTTACATTTGATCGCTTTATATATATATATATATATATAGAGAGAGAGAGAGAGAGAGAGAGAGGGGGGGGATGAAACTAGCTGTTAGGATTTTTATTTTAAAGTATTGTTTTACATGATCTTTTAAGTCTAAGATTAATGTATTGATTAACATGTATTTACGTCATAGTATATTAGTTTCATGTCTTTGGATTTCGGTCCACTATATGAAACTCTTTACGTGTATTTTTTGTTTTATAAACACATCAAAAAGTTTCACATTGTAAAACAAATACAAGTCAAACAAACACATTGTGAAACAATCATATGTTAATCTGTATGATTCTAAATTCTAGTCTTAGATGAAAAAAATAATATAAAATGACATATAATATAGTGCAATATTTATCAGGGTTTTCAAGATGATTAGCTAATTTTATATTAAAAGAAAAATATCATCATACAAATTATGGCAACGGTTTTTTTTATACTGAAAAGTAAAAAAAAATGAATTATCGTCTTACACAAGCAACTTCTTTTTCGACGGGGATTAAAGATGGTGTCAAATTAACTATAAGTTTTGTTGTTTTAAACGTTCCGTGTAAGAATTTAATTTTTTTTTACTATAACGATGTATTGACAGTTCCCACTGATGAAAACTTAAACGAAAATTCAACATATGGCCCGTAAAGTTGAATACGAAAACTACAAATACAAACGTGATTTCCGACAAATTAATTATCAAGTTAAATTGCTCGAATGTTTGTCAGTTAATTATTAATATTATAGATTTTTTAATATTAGTTGTTAAATCAAACAGTGTTTGTACAACTTAACAACAAAAAGAATATGGAATATTGCGTCTGGTTTTAAAGTTCTGGTTGCGTCTAAGCAACCTTTTTCCTTACTATTTTTGATCCTAAGAGTTTGCTTTTAAATACTATTCATTATTTCATTTCATCACAACGTGACAAGTTTATTAGTGTAATTTAGTAACATATTATATTGGTTTATTTATTTCTTGAAATATAATGGTTATGCATAATTAGTCTGCTTCTTTTTGTTATATTATAGATTGATTACGCGTATCGTAAACCAATTAATGGGTATAGTTGTTATTTTTGTTACGTATCAAAAAGAGGAAGGTTAGACACAAACACACATATATACAGAGGTAGGTTATATTAGGAAGCTAAAATTGATTAGGAACTTAGATACCGTCTATAGTACGACACGTGGTTTATGCATCGGGAATATAGACATGTTATTTATCAAGTATGTTGTAATATATTCGTAAGATTAATCATGAATGTTTGATTAATGATGAATATAATAATACTTTCATATTCATCATTATTAATATTCAATACATGAATCATGATGAATGTTTGTCATGAATAACATTCATAATGAATATTTGTTCTGAAAAAAAAGGACAAATGATGTTTTCTACGTGATAACCAAGTTCCTAATCAGTTTTTGGTTCCCTAATAAAACTTCCATCTCTCTCTTTATACACATACACACACATGTATTGATGTATGCATATACATAATTATCAATGCTATAACAAAATCTGAGTTTATAGGTAGCAAAAAATGTCTAAATATTTTAATACATCGTTTTATATTACTTATGTTTATAAGATCAAACAATTGTGTGTATTATATAAAAACATCACAAAATATTTATATAACATTATTTTAAAAAATGTCTTATAATAAAATTTGTTTATAAAACATTTCTCAAATATGTCAAGTAAAAAAGTACTGGAACACTTTATTTTATAAATATCATAAAACATTATATATATATATGGATGGGTTCAAATAAAAACCATTCAATTTGTAAAAACCGTAAAAACCTCATTCAACCAATCATAATTTTTCATTTTGTTCATTTTTTTGTAATTATGAGAGGTTGATTAA